ACAGCAAAAAAAAAAAAACCTGCAACATACCTATTATGATGTTAACAAATATTAATTTCACCGAAAGCAGTACAAGGTAGTGTTGGTTATTCTTAGCCAGCATTTGGCATAATAAAAATTAGTTTTAAAATTATATGTGCTTAATTGAAAATTTTAGGCTGAGAATTTATTAAATGTCATAACTAATGAATATTCAACGTATTTTTTTAAATAATATTAAAATCTACCTATGTTCAATAAAATCATGGATGATAAATGCCAACTTCTGGAGTTTCTTCTTTTGTGGGCATTTTTAGAAATGTTTTCAAGGCTTTATTGAAAATATGTGAAATTCAGCAGTTTCTATAATAACTATTTCTACAGGTATCTCTGCTGAGATCACTGAAAGACCTATTAAGATGGATGCAGCAAATCATCAGTCCTAGAAGTGCTTATAAATTGATACATTCACTCTCATATCATCTTGTATGGATTGGCATTCATTTCATCAATACTTTTTCTTCACTGGTATCATTTCTGCTGAGGGGCAGTTATATCAACCTATTAATAATCAATCACAGATACAGGAAAACTTTGATTCCTTTCCCCTCTCCCCCTGAACACCAATCATTCAAATGCTTCACAATTTGTGCCTTTGTTCAACCTCCAACATGCTCCTCGGTGAGCAGAGTGCAGATAAAACTAGGGAGGCAAATGAAGAGTTTCTCTGAGTTAGCAGTGCTTCTTAGTGTATTTTAATATTTGTATTCTGAAAGAAACCGCTTAACTTATAATTTAAGAGAGTGGGCCAAATGTCTAGCTTGCTTACTATTGGCATGAGACCCTGTGAGTAACTTGGTTACAGTTGCTATGGAAGGAAGATTCCTAGCTGATCCTTTGAAATGATACAGTTAACAGCTCAGGAGGAATAGAATTAATCAATGGTATGATCTGACCACTTCTTCCCTATGATCTTTGGGAGACAAAAGAGTAGCAGCTTGGGTCTGAGTATAATCATACTGCCTCCAAATGGTTATTATTAATTTTAGTCCTATTTGTCGTGTGCGCTATAAGCCGTTTATCTCTTCAGAACTAGAGTGGCATATGACCTGAATAAAATTGTTATATAGAATTTTAGGCTTCATTATTTAAAAAAGGTGATATTCGCATTTTAGCATGGCATCCATACCTCCTTTGAAGTTCAGGAAACCATATTTCTTTTTAACCATTTTTTTTTTACATGCAGAAATTGTCCTACTGATAAACTAAGCAGGGCCATATTCTGGAATCCTTAAATGTTGCAAGTGTTAAAGAAGCCCCAATGGGAAAGGAAAAGATGTAACATATTTTAAGAGTGTTTTGTCTTTTCTCATATCAATGTATTTTATTGTTTGCACATATATCAAATAAAGGCAACAAAATTAAATAGAAGATATAAACATGGCATTAAATATTTCATGGGAAAATTAAAATAGAACAGCAACTGGAGTGAGGAATCAGATTACTGAGAGAAAAACTAAATCATCAGAAGAGTTAGAAAAATAAGCAAGAACACCAGAAAAAGGCTTGAAATCATTTATTTATTACCAGTTAGAAACAGCATGCTTTGTATGCAGGTATGGTTGCACAAATGAAAAGTGTCCTGAGATGAGCTTCAAGTGTGTTCCCAGTGACAAGGAAAGCAACCCGTTTTTAATGTGTAATTATTTCTATGAATAAATTGATCTTCTTTATTAGAATACAACTAGGGAGAAGACCTGAATGGAAGCCATTTAGGTCTTGATAGAAATTCCATATAGAACAAAGGAGAAAAATGGTCACTTTAGTTTAAGCATCTTTTTGCTTTGTTTACATACTACAATGATCTATAATTGCATGTTTGATTTGGGCTTAATGTGTTGTATAAACTGAGTTAATTGTAATTTATTAAATAAGTCATGGTAAAACGATATGTGGCTTAGTATAATTTCTGACACAGGTCTTTCTCAGTGGTGCACAGGTTCAGATCAACCAATCTAAGTTATGGTTTGTTTTAATTATAATTTGAACAAATTATATGGTTACCTAGTTCATACTTTGTTACATGGTTTATATATTATAAAATATAATTTTCTTTTCCCAGGAAGGGAGATAAAAAAAGAAAAGATTTTTTAGGAATATATGCTTCCAATGAAACCTAAAATAGCATCTTCAATTGCTTTAATCCCCTCTTTTGTTTTTGCCCACTCGCAACTGTGTGTATAGTACAGTCACACCATGTCAACTTTTACGCTAAAAAGCAAGCACTTATTTGTACAGTATAAACCTACTTTTTATACTCTGTATTTCATGAATTATTTTTTTTCAGTTGCTCACCTATAACACCACTTAAGTATCAGGGTGTGAATAAAACAGAAAACACATTTTGGTTTAAACCCAGAACCAACCATTTTGTTTTCAAATTCTACCAGACTGCCTTGGATTTCCTGGAATTCAGCAAAAACCAAACTGTGAGGGATCCTATCATTTTTTAATATTAATCGGGGAAAATATAGTACCTTCTTTCATCATCCCCCAGAACAGCCTGTTATCAGCCCGTTGGCCTCGATTGTATGGACCCTTCCTTTTCTTCCTTCACCACAAAAGCACTGGCCTACTTACCTGTTTCCTACTGCAATGGACTTAGTAGTGAAGAAAAGATTCCCAAAGTGACAAATCCCATCACTTTGTTCACCTCAGATCTTCCCTCCAATTTTTCATCTCTTCAGGCCCATGGCTTTTTAATGCCATTATTTGTCAAATTACTTCTGCTCAGAACACCTGGGTCCAGTCTATAACCTCTCTTTCAGTTTGAGCTGGATAATCCCAAACCTTCTTCATATATCTCTCTACTTAAACTGAGATAACTGTTTGGCTAACTCATAAACAGTCCCTGAAATGGACAACAGATGCCAAGATGGATAAAGATAAGACAGAATTGTGGTTCAGTGGATTTATCAAACAACTACACCTAAGATATTGAAAAATGACTGTGCATTATTTGCATGCAAGAAAAAAATTGCATGTGATCTCTCCACAGGGCTTTCAAACTGTAGATGAAAGAAATGGATACCAAATTTGCAGGCAACATCAAATAAGTAGTAGAACTTCAATTATTTTGTTATCATATAACTGTTTGGAAAACTTTTCAGCCCTGAGAGAAGTACAAGTGTTTGATTATGTGAAATCTCAATTTAACAAACTATAAACTCTGCATGCAAGAGACCAAATTTCCATCTAGTTATTTTTCCGGAAATAATAAACAAGCCTATCATATATAAAACAATTTGTAAGAGGTGGTTATGACCAAAATATGTAAGCTGTCATGATGTATTTTTGCATTTAACACATTTGGAATATGACTTTATTCCATTTTTTTCTCTAAAATGAGAAAAGACTAAGCTGGATTCCCATCAGCCTTTGTTTCTGCACTGTCCCTTTGACATACATGCAGTAATTGCTATTCTTAGCAAAATAATACCTCCCATGTGTTTTTTTTCCTGTGGCTGAAAAACACATATCCTTAGGGATACTAGAATTGAAATGAAGATAAAAGGACAATTTTTATTTTGCTGATGTCTACTTACCTTATTGTTTGGAGTATAAGACGCACCTTTTTCCCTCAAAAAAGAGGGTGAAAATCTGAGTGCATCTTATACACTGAATACAGCATTTTTGGCTTCATGAAACCCCACCCTTTCACCAAAATGGCCGTGCCTAGCCTTTANGGCAATATGCTGACTCTGTAAACCGCTTAGAGAGGGCTGAAAGCCCTATGAAGCGGTATATAAGTCTAACTGCTATTGCTATTGCTAATTGAAATAATCATATATAATTCATACTAATCAGGGGTGAAATTCAGCAGGTTCTGGAGAACCAGTAGTGGAAATTTTGAGTACTTCAGAGAACCGGCAAATAACAACTCTGGTTTGCCCCAGAGTGGGGAGGGAATGGAGATTTTGCAATATCCTTCCCCTGCCATGCCCACCAAGCCACACCCACAGAACTGGTAGTAAAAAAAATGAATTTCACCACTGATACTAATCATATTGGTTGTAGATGACAGAAATCATAGGCAAATGCATGTGGAGAATGCTAAGTGGGGGGAAGGCATGTTTTGTTACCCTGACCTCACTTTTTTTTGCATGTAAATTTTCCATCTTTCAATGAAATGTAAATACAGTTAAGTATGACCAGAGATCTAGATTGTCTCTTTATTCTCGACCTTCAGAAACAATTAAAAGACAGTACCCTCTGAGCATACCCAACCTCACCAGAGTGGCTTGACTTATCTAACCACAATTAACCTGGGTTGATACGGGTTGCCACCACTGGGCCAAAGAGGCATTTAGGAAGATTCCAGTGCATCTACAGCTTAGTTGGGTTACACTCTAGGTCTTCTACTAGTAAGGCTGCAATCCTAGTCAACCAGGTGAACACTCCTTCTTCACCCAATTCAAGCCCAGAGGATTAAAGAAAGAACTAACTAAGGATGTGGGCTAGCAAGTGTAGAAGACAGACAATGGTAGTAATGATGACAAAGTAAAGTAAATGACAGAATTGCAGCAATGATGAGGGGGTATCGAGATGTATTAAAAAAAAAAGAATAGCAGTAAGCAGCCTGGCCCAGGGGAAGAAAAGGACTTGTAGGTTTGTTCCAGTGGCAGCTCTACTGGAGTTTGGTTTGGTGTACAGCTTAAAGGATTCAGCCATTATTCTGCTTCATAGCTTGACTGTACCAAATGGCCACTAGAAATAGAGAGAATCTTGGGCCAGAGCAAAGACTGTGCCAAGTCTGGTGAAGGGTTAAGGAATGGATGCAGGTAACCGATTAAGTCAGCTAAGAGAAGTTGGGAGGCTGAAGTTAATCCTATCCAAACCAAACTGTATGTACAGTAGCAAGAAAAAGTATGTGAACCCCTTGGGATTATGTGGAGTTTTGCATGAATTGTGCAATCATAAAATGCGCTCTGAACTTCATCTTAGTCACAACAATAGAAAANAATTTGCCTCTTCAAAATCTTGGTGTGTCTTATACTCCAGTGCGTCTTGTACTCCAAAAAATACAATAGTTCTATGGGCAAAGGTGTTTCTGTGGCAAACTAGTGGCTTTTGCCTTTCAATAAATGTCTAATTATCATGCATTGCACCTACCAATAAAACAAAACAAATCTAGCATAAATTATTTCCTCTTAGATACAAAGTAGGCATCACTGTTTTTCCTGAAACTTTCTCTAATCTTGACTATAAAAATCATACAATAGATATAAGCTTCTAGGTTATTTTATAGAGAACAGGGAGGGAGTTAAAACCTAATCATTACATAAATCAGCTCTGTATTAATATTGTACTCAATACATAACTGCTATTCAAGTGTATCTCCATTCTTCAGATGTTAGTAACATGAAAACCGATTCCATTAGCCTTGTATTATAAGTTTATAGTGACAAACTGTCAAGTAATCAGCTCTCTTTACTTATACCTGCACAGAACTGTATTATCGTTTACAGTTTACAACACAAGGTACTTATGGAATTCTTTTTAAAAGTAAGATTAATAGAGGAACATGTCTTTCATCACTGGGACTTTTCCAAAATAAGGTTTAAATAATGAGAAATGTCAAAGCATTCCACAGAAAAAATATTAAGTAAATTTGGGAATGAATCAAATAGGAAGTTAAACTAAGATTCTGGAAGAAAACATCTGCAACTGATGAAAAAAATATTTTTCCAGCTAGCAATTCATTGTGTTGAATATCAAGAAATGCACAATTATACCACTGCCATTATTAAAGAATGTTTTCTATTTCTTAAAATCAAATTATTTACAGTGATGTATTGTTTAAGAATCATTAATATATTGCACATAATTTAAATTCTTTAATGTCATTTCTACAAAGGAGTTAAATTATCATCAGTACTGACCTTACATATTTTAGACAGAAGTGATGCTCCCGGGTATTTCAAGAACAAGGTACTTAAATAGATTAAAAAGCTACAGTTGTATCCTTTCAAAATTCAAACTGAATTAAGGTTACAGTAGTGGCTTTCTGTTCTTTCACAGAACATCCAGATGGTAACACATCACAGAGCTGTGCAAATTGTGGTTCCAGGAAAAGAAGCAACTACCTTCTTTTTCCTGCACCACTTTTTCCTATTTTACTGCTACTGCCAGTAGACTTGCTGGAAGATTTTGAAGAGAAAAGTCTTGTCATGAACTCTGACACATCAGGCAGCTCATGGTTAGAATTCAACATATTCATGGATTGCTCCATTTCCTAAATACATACAAACAGAGGAAAGTATAAGAGAAAACCATTTTTAAATTATTTATTAAAGAATACACACAGTGAATGTTTACAGTTTGCGTTTGCTCTCTACTCCCCCCCCTCCACTACAGACTCCTCTATTCAGCCAGTGTGAAGAACTTAAAAGAAAATTATTACATATATAGGAAAGATATAGGAAAGAAACTACTAAAAGCAAAAAAGCTTAAAAACGTGTCTAAAGTAGTCTTACAGGACAATATTGATTCACATTTTGAAAAACTGAAAAATCTCAGTTCTAAGTGTTATTTTTTCTTATAGCTTTTCTTCAAACAAATGAGCAGAGAGATATCATCCAAGCATAATATTTGACTATTAGGACATTTCAGGAGCTAAACTAGTGTGTAATAGGAATAACTTGAAAATAACTTGATACCTGTAAAGAACTACTGAAGACAGAGATAATTCAGAGGAAATAAAAATTAATACCAACTGAACCCCAGAAGCAGCAGCCAAAGGCACACAGTAAGCACCACTAAATATAGAAGATTTAGTAAACACCTTGAGTCTCCATTTTGTTCTAGCCCTCCGCTATTCAGCATAATGCATGATGAAAGGACAATGAATTAAAATATTGTAAGAAATATCATACTACAACTTCCTATCACTATGAATTTATCAAAAGTATGGCAATTCTTGCTGAAATAATAATGACAAAGAGAAGAACAACATAAGTTGGCAGGAAGTTTTAGAGAATTATAGTAAGCACAGAAACTGAATTCCTTTTAACCAATGTCTGTACAATTTGCTACAGTGAACACAAAAGAGCTCTTGATCTAATATCAGAGCAGTTCAAGAAATCAAGTCAAAGAGCACACATGCTCAGCTAGCCATAGATCTGTCCAGGACTTTGCTTTAAATAACAATGTTTACTAGAGCTGCCATATAAAAAAAATAGTATGCTAATTCCTAATAGGAGCAGAAGAAAGTTTAGGCAGCAAGTGCCTTTGCTGATGACAAAATAGTAAAAGCTAACATCCTCCAAATAAGCTTTGATGAAATATGGGATAAACCCACATGGAAAATAAACCTGTTTTTTTTTGAAGATTTCCCATTCAATCATGAAATGAGGGGGGGATTAATTCTCTCATGGGGATGTTTTCTTGATTTGACTTTAAGATTCAGAGCACCTCACAGTATTTTGTGTAGGTGGGGGTACATAAAACTGTTGAAATTAAGATTATCCAGCATATGCATTCTCAAGCACAACAGCTTTATCCTATTTGCTTTTCCATGTGGGGGCTTAACTAAGAGACAGATTAGGCAGGTACCTGGGGGAAGGGTATTTTTGTTTCAGGTAAGCTACATAGGAGGTTGGTGAGCAGCCTATAAATCACTTTGTGAGAAAGGCAGCCATACAGGTCCTATAACTAAATGTCATTTCATCACATGATCCTGACACCATTCCTTTTAAGCTCATCCTATATTTCATAAGCTTTTTGGGGAACGCAAATAAAACATGGAAAAAACTAACCTTCTTTCATGTCTTAAACCCTACTTTCCAGTAATAATTTCCATTTTTTTGTATTGTTGAAGTTTTCAGCTCAGAACTATATTTCAATTATAGCAATGAACCAAAAGCTCACTATTATATCCAACACTTTCCTGATTCTGTATATTATATATCTATATCTATACCTATATCTATATCTTGATTCAATATTTGCAGTTTTCACTTTTGCAAAGCTTACTCACCCGCCTCATGTCAGGATCACTTGTATTGACAACTTTGGGTAATAATACAAAGATTAGCAATGGAAGGATCATCATCATAACCTTAGAAAAAAAATCAGGAGGTCATCAAATTTGTTAATCACTTAACAAATGTTTCACTTAACAACAGACATTTTGGGCCCAATTGTGCCTGTAAGTCAAGGTCTGTCTGTATTGAACCTTTCACAACAAATTATGGTGATCAGAAATATTCAAGATATAGCTTCATGCAATTCCTTAAGACTGAAAAAAGGAAACTACCAACATAAGTTACATTTATCAAATATGTCCTAAGTAACCACTGAGATTACAAATTATAGAGATGTGAAATGAGCTAAAACACATTTGTTCTTTACTATATTGGAAGGATCAATACCGAACAGCAGATATTATAACAGATTTTTTTTCTTTAAAAAATTAAAATGACGAATTTGAGTAGTAGCAGTAGTATAAAATATTACAAGCTGTTTGATAGTGAAATTGTATTTTTCAGAACTTTGTGAGCACTCATTGAAGAAATTTAAGAAAAAATTGAATGGCCATTATTGAACTTTGCAATGGTGTTCCTGTCTTAGTATTAGCACTGGATTATATAACTTTCAAAATTCTTTCAATTCCAGATTGATTTCATTATGAGCTCATTGCCTGCAGCCATTTCCCCTATAATTCTGTAATCTAATATGTAAAGAACAAGTAGAGCCACTCTTCCAAAAAGTTATTCAGATGCTATGATTTTATACCTATGAAAATCAGAATAGTGCAAACAAAAATATTTCTTGTGATGCTCTATGGGAAGAAAACTTGGACTCTGAAGAAGTAGAAATTCCTATTTATATAGTGTCAGCCTCAAACATGCTTATCTGAAATGAATATATATACTCCATGCACTATTACCTTACAGAACACTTGAGATTTCTCAGGACAACCTATAACATACTACAATCACCAAATAAAATTCTGAATAATTAAAATATGCAATAATTAAAACACACAATAGAATATAAAAACTAAAAGTTGTTTAATATGTAATGTCTATAAATAGAAGAATAGTCTGGTAAACTTGTTGATGTTTACACAATTCCATACATACCATGGGATTCATTAAAAAGTCAGTCCATCCCCAAGACTCTCTCTTTATAAAATATGAAGGAGGCCCCGAAGATTTCATTTGAAGAGGATATGGCAATCGAACAACTTCTGATGTTTTGATATAATTCACGTATCTTGCTCTGAATTAAAAAAATTAAAACCGTGTTCTATAGATTTTTCAATTTTATCAATATCTCTACCCAGTATCCTGTGACAATGTAAGCTGCACACCTTAATGCACGTCCACTGAAGAGCCTACAATTAGATTAAATGCTGCTAATTTCCACGTAAATGTTCTTAGGACAGCAATCTAAATTATTTTTATTTCAGTAGGTGTCTGCACTCTATGTACAGTTGCTACCAATTCATCCAGAAATTTACTATATAGGTAGCCTTTGAATTGGGAGAAATTAATTTACTGCTTACTTTACTAACTGAAACAAGCATATATTACATATTATACTGTTCATTAACAAATATTTTATCCCAATAAAAATGAACACAAAATGGCCCATTTGGATTTTTGACTCACTAGATCTTAATTTCTTGAAAGTCTTTCTAAATGTTATATGGTGTATGTAGATATTAAAGTTAAGCTTTTAATCTCATACGTTACAAAATATATTGACATTGCAATATGAAATTTTAAATAGTTCACCTCATTTTTCCTCTTGAAGTAATATCTACTCGTACTGGTTCAAATTTATAAGCTGGAGATATAACTTCAACAACATATGATCCAGAAGGAATATCGTGAACTACAAAACTTCCATCTGTCCTGATGAAATAGAAAAGAGACAAACATATAACTCTATCACAGTTTTCAGAGATAACACAATAATTTTAGATCACATATCACAATGTAAGTTTAGAGCTACATTTCAGAGCATTAGACTCTGCATTAAGAAAATAAGATTATAATATCTGCCAACATATATGTAATACAATGTTGTTCATTACTAACATGTCACAGTGAACTCGTATAGTAGGACAGTTATGAATACAAGATAAAACATTCTAGTTTCTATCTCAGCAGAACTACTTGGCCTGAGAAAAACTGTAAAAATCACTAATATGTTACAAGAATATTTATCTTATAGACCTGATGAAATTACATATAAAAACAAAGGAAGTGTATTGTTTCCAATATGTATTTTTTTTCTGCTTAGGAAAAAAAAGGTAAATAAGGCATTACACATGGCATGGAAAAAGTTGAGGGAGAACATTTTGGCTTGCCAGCCCAATAAATTGGAGTCATTCAATGAATATGATTTGCAGATTGTACTTAAATATATTTAAGTATATAATTCAGAAAATGTATTTATTCCTTAAATTTCTAAGCAACTCTACATTTTTAATCAAAGTGAACAGACATTTTTTTAAAAAAATAAAAATGTGTGAACAAATTTACAAGTCATAATGGCTATAAAACAACATAAAAACAACCCCACTGCATCAAGACAAATATGACATCATACCCACAAAATTGGGCTTAGATTATTTGCAGATCAGAGCTCAAATGTTTAAAGCCTGTGATGGTCTTAAAATCATATAATTGTATGATTTGTAAAATACAATTTATAAAATCATACAAAGCTTGCAGATTCCTGCAGTTAAAAATCTAAAAGTTGGTTTATCTGCAGCTGATGCATTTTTGATAGTATTTTGGTTGACATTTTGAGGGTTGGGTTATCTGCAATTATAGACAGCATTTCTTCCAATCAGCTTGATTGGATGGCCCTTGGTCCCACTGTTTTAAGAAGAGAGAAAATATTAATATTTTATAAACTTAAAAATAAAATTTAATAAAGGCATTTGATTCCCCAAATCATTTTAATTGGCAATTTCTGCATTTTTCCTGCTCTGTTACTTTTCTAATATGATGACCAGAGCAGTAGATAGTATTGTAGATATAGAAGCATCACAGACTTGAACAAGGACATTGCAATATTGACATCAGGCTTTAACAGAGCACATGTGATGTACCGTACATTACTTTACATGTAACGGTAGACCATAACCTACTATTAGATAAAGTAGAAGATTGTGGATTAGACAGCATCACCACCAGATGTATTCGTAACTGGCTGATCAACCACACTCAATGTGTAGTCCTCAATGGAACTGCATCTACATGGAGGGAAGTATGCAGTGGAGTACCCCAAGGCTCTGTTTTAGGCCCCTCTTCAACATCTTCATCAATGATTTGGATGAGGAAATAAATGGGGAACTCATCAAATTTGCAGATGACACCAAGCTGGCAGGAATAGCTAACACTCCAGATGATAGACTTAAGATACAGAAGGATCTTGACAATCTTGAACATTGGGCACTAGCTAATGAAATGAAATTCAATGGTGAAAAGAGCAAG